TTTTTTTTTTCAAAGACGGTTTAAATAGATTCTGCTTGGGTGTATTTAATGTCTAATATTGGTTCTTTATAGCAATTTTCGTTTCTTTCCTAGAATCTAAAAATAGATAAAATTATTAGAAGCAATGCTTCTAATAGAGTGTGGAAAGTAAGTGATAGTAAATTTAAAGTGCTCACCACATAAGCAAGTGTTTAAGAATTATATCACTGGTAATGTCATATTGATACCAGCTACTTCCTGATTTAATGTAACCAAAGGACACATATTTTCTATGATATTCTTCCCCCAAATCCATCAGCTCGGTCAGATTGTGAGAAAACTATTACAAACTGAAGGAGACAAGATGAGTAAATGTAATATTTAATCCTATCTGGAGTTCTAGAACAGAAAAAAAGACAATGGTGAAATTGGTCAAATTCAGAAAAAGTATTTAGTGTTATCAATGGAATTACACCAATGTTAATTTCTTTTTTCCATATAAGGATAATTATTTCTATGTTCTGAATAACAGCTTCAACACTCAACTGCTCGTATTTTTCTGCCCAGTCAGTTTTTAGGTTTTTAAATAAATTTGTTATAGTAATATAAGATACTAGCATGAAGGGAAGCGGAATGGATATATTACACCAAAGTCTTTGCTGTCTTTGCAGCTCTCTTGTAAACCTAATCATTTCAAAATAAGAAAATGTTCTGGTCTTAATGACAAATTATTTTTTAAAAGAACACATAAGGATCCAATTCCTTATATAAATATATATATTTTGCTTTAATATCAACTAAATGGATAAAACAATAATTTTAACGTGTTTGTTATATTCCCTGCAAGTTTACTTGTGTTTTTCTTTCCTGTTTATCTAAGTTTGTTTTGCTCAGTTTTACTCTATTGTTGTCATATCCCAATTCTCATCCCTTCACTTTACTTCTATTTTATATCTCATAATAGCACTTTTTTTCCACTACTATCTTATATACCCCTATGATTTTACCTGCTCCCTTATTTGTAAGTTTTTATTTGTTAATGCATACATGCAAGAACTAGGGAGTAGGTCAGAAGTGTGTGAAAGAGGAGGTGAAGAGAATTCATTAGTTGTAATTTGATTATGAATATCTGAAGGAGATGAGCCCTAGTAATTTAATTCTGCCACCATCTTACTGGGCTCTTCAAGTTTACTTTTAATAAAGCAACTATTCAGGTGTGCATTTAATTTTAATTTATAACTGAATAAAACCTTGTAAAGCAATCTGTTTTCATAACAGAGTTCAGAATTTCCAGGTTCTATGACTTGCGCTAAGATGTAAAGTGAGGACAGTAGTAAGTTAGATGAGCTAAGGAATTGAAGGTTGGTTTACCTGTCAGGTTAACTAGAATTGAAGGATTTCCACTGCCCATGATTCATTATTGTTCCCTATAACTCCTATTATTTTTGCTTCAACCTCCCAGCTACTTTCTATGGATTGGGTGGGGGATGCTCCTACAATTTGAGTTTACTGATAGGGAACATTTTTTTATGCTTTTCTTTGTTCCATCTATGTTAATCACATAATAAATCACCATTTCCTTGTTTCTGCTTTCTGTGATAGGAGAACCTGGTAGCTTAAAAGATTGAGTAAATAAAATGAGTAGGCAGTGTTTTTGAGGTAGACTTAAGGTATAAAATTTTATTTTTGTTTTAGTACCATCCTTTCCTACAAGGTGAAAGAAAATAGAAACTTGAAAGCATAAAGCTGGTGGTCACCTTGAAGGAGAGAGACTTCAAACTTAATTGAACCCTGTTTTCAGGTCTCTATTAAATATTGTTGTATATTTAAGTTACATCTGCATTTAATTCATATTCTTTGATTTTTCAGGAACAGTTAAATAACCAGAAAATGGAAGAAGCCATACAACAGTATGAGAGAGTATGTAAAGGTCAGAAACATTTTCCTTTGAAAAATCTACAGTAATATAAGGGCAACATAAGACGTAATTTGATCAAAAGAGAAAAACATTGACTACAGGGTGTTAAGATGATTCACCAGAGACAGAGAGGGGAGCAGAACAGGCAGATGGATGAAGTACACTGCTGAGGGGAGTAGAGGGCAGGACGGAGGAGGTCTGTTGCGCCCTGTGGGTCACCTCCCTGGCCAGGAATCAAGCTGCTGGCTTCACAGTGCTGTGCTTTAACCTGTTGCTCCACCAGGGAGAGGCCAACATTGATTCTTAAATGAATAGCGTGGAAAAATAAAGCATTAAGAAATTTTTCAGTCAGATCATTGATAATAGGTAATGGCCAGTATTTTGTGGAAAAGTCATTGTTACATTGGTCACAATGAATAGAAGAAATTTCTAGACAAACTCATGATGAATATACTTACAGTAAAATATTTTTTTAAAAAACTATTCTTAAAATTTTAAAGACCATTTAATACTTAAAATTTAAATCATGTGCAGAATTACTTCTCCACTAAAATTTTGTTGATTTTTTTTTAGGTTGAAATATAAAATTTTTTGCAGGATATATACATATTTCTGCTTATGCAGATTTCTTTCCTCCCCATCACTTATGCCTTAATTTCTTTGTCAATTAACATATTAGAAAAAGGGATGAAACAACCAAATATTACTTATTTAGATGACTTAGACACTTGTGGTATTGACATGGTTTAATAACTTGAATTAAAATCTCTAGCTTTATAAAATTTTTAAAAATAAGATATAAAATATATGTTTTTAAAATATCTTTTTAAATTGTGTAACTTAGGGGTTTTAGTATATTCATATGATAAATAAAATGGTGTAGACCCTGTGGGGAAGTTTAATAGTTCCTCTAAGAGTTAAATAAATATAGTTAATTACCATGTAATCACTGTCTTAATTCCAGAGCTTTTTATCACACCAAAAAGAAAATCTGCACGCATTAGTAATCATCCCCAACCCCTGTCCCTGCTTTATTTAGCCTGTTTTAAACATTTCATATAAGTGAATTCCTGCATTTTATGGCCTTTGTGTTTAACGCCACTTAGCATGTTTTCAAGTTTCATTCATATTGTAGCATGTATCAGTACTTCATTCCTTTTTATGGCCAAATAATATTGCACTATAACTCATTTTACTTATGCATGATATTTGATATTTATACATTAAATATTTGAATGTGTTTGCTTTTTTACTTTTATGAATATTTATGTATATAACTTTTTGGGTGAACATTGGTTTTAATTCTCCTGAGGATGTGTAATTAGAAATGGAACCACTAGACAATTACATGGTAATTAACTATATTTATTTAACTCTTAGAGGAACTATTAAACTTCCCCACAGGGTCTACACCATTTTATTTCCCTATATGAATAAGGACTACAATTTTTCAAAAATTTTCCCAAAACTTGTTATTTTTCATTTTTAAAATTAATAGCCACCTATCAATATTTGCATTTCTTTGGGCTGCTGTAACAGAAGCAAAGTACCACAAGCTAAGTGGATTAAAATAATAGAAACTTACTCTGTTACTGTTCACAAAGTCTGAAATAACCGTGTTGATAGGGCCATGTGCCCTCTAAAGACTAGGAAAGAGTCTTCTTTGGTCTGTTTTAGTTTTATCTTCTAATGGTTTGTGGCACTTCTTTGTAACTAGAATCTGACTATCTTAACATCATGGCCTTCTCTCTCAGTGTACGCTTATAGCTGCTTATCCCTATATATCTCTGTCCAAATTTCCTTTTTGTTGTTGTTTTGTTTTGTCATAAGTTCCAAGTTCCTTTTAAAATATACATTTATTTTTTAACTAAGTACCATTATTTTACATTCTTGTTAATTGTTTGAGATTATAGGATTTTTCCCCTCAGGTATGGTCACCAGAGCCCTCCCATAACAAAAGCACAGACCTCCACAATAGTCCTTTGTGACCCCCACTTGTCACACCTCCCCTCCCAAATTTCCGTCTTTTAAGGACACCCTTCATGTTAGATTTAAGGCCTGTCCTTATCCAGTATGACCTTGGTTACAAATATAAAGGCCCTATTTCCAAATAAGGTCATATTAATAGTGGGCCTTAATTTGGGGGGAACATTGTTTCATGTTATGCCATTGTGGTTTTGATTTGTAATGCCCTAATGACTAGTATTAGTGAGCATCTTGATGTGCTGTTGGGCATTTGCATATTTATTTTGGAAAAATAATATATTCAAGTTCTTCGTGCACTTTTCATTTGGGTTATATCTTTATAATGAAGTTCTAAGAGTTTCTTATAAATGCTGGATACTAGACATTTTATCAGATAAATGATTTGCAGTGTTCTCTCCATTTGTGGGTTGATTGCACTTCCTATATTGTGTCCTTCGATGCATAAAAGTTTTCCTTTTTGATCAAGTCCAGCTTCCCTATTTTGTTTTAATTGCTTGTGCTTTACGTGTCATGGCTAAAAAATTGTTACCTAGTCCAGAATCATCTAGGTTTTCTTCCAAGTGTCTTGTGGTTTCAGTTCATATATTTAAGGCTTTGATTTTGAGTTAATGCATTTTCAGTGTAATTTTATATATTTTGTATATGGAGATTCAGTTGTCCCAGCACCATTTGTTAAGAAAACTGCCTTTCCTTCATTTTATTGTCTTTAACATCTTCATTTGAAATCGCCTGACCATTTACATAAAGGTTTTTTTCTGAATTCTCAACTCTGGTTTCATTGATTTGTGTTTTTTCTTATGCCAGTACTTCACTATATAGTTAACACAGGTTTAGAGTTTTAAAGACCCGAGTGTATGAATTCACCCATTTTTATTCTTCTTTTGAGAGTTTGTTTTGGCTCTCTTGGGTTCCTTACATCTCCACATGAATTTTATGGTCATTTTGTCCATTTCTGCCAAAAAAAAAAAAAATCAGCTGGAACTTTAATAGGAGTCATATTAAATCTGAGAATTCATTTGCAAAAAGTACCAATTTAACTATACTAGACAGACAATATCTCGTCATTTTTTTAGGTCTTCTTTAATTCTTGTTAATGAGTTTTGTTTTCTTGTTTTTATGTATAAGTATTGTCCATCTTTTGTTAATTTATTTCTAAGTATTTTATTCTTGGTAATACTATTGAAAATGGAATTCTTTCCTTAATACCACTTTTGAGTAGTTGATTGCTAGGGTATAGAAATACACTTTGATTTAACTATGTTGCTCTTCTATCCTGTAATTGTTTTGAACTAGTTTATATACTGTAATAAGATTGTATGTGGGAACACCCTGGTGGCCTAGGGCTTCAGTCTCAGGGCTATCACCACTGAGGCCTGAGTTCAGTCCGCAGCCAGGGAGCTAGCTAGATGTAGTCTTGCCTGCTACATCCTCCTCTGTTTCTGGTGAATCCTCTCACCCTCCCACACCTCTGGCCTGTACCCCAGCTCTTACATGCTTAAATAAATAAATAAATCTGTTTTTTTTTTTTTTAATATAGTTTATCTTTACATCATTTTGTGCATTTTCCCATCTCAGTGGTAATCCCCGTGGGCTTCCCATCACCAGATCACCCGTGTGCTATCACCATAGTCCAGTGCATTTCCCTACCCCCCACAAATAAATCTTTTTTTAAAAAAATCAGATTGAGGGCAAAACTTTTTTGTGTTTTTAGGTTAAAGTTTTAGTTTTGGTTCCAGAATATTAACACTGAAAAATTTTGCCCAATAATAATGTTTTTTTCTCTAAACCTAAAGATCTGTTTATTCATATTAATAATTTCTATTAAAATATTTCATTTTACCTGAATGGATTCCTTTTCCATATATCCATTCATTCTTGTGCCCATTCAAGCCATCCAACTGTGTGCATCACGTAATTACTTGATAGCATCAGATATTTAAGCACTGCTCTAGGTAGGAATGGAGGATAATAGCAGTGAACAAGTTTCTGCCTATATGGAACAAGTTTCTACCTATGTGGAACTCCTATTATAGTTAATTAAAGTATTTTATTTTTTAAAGATTTATTTATTTATGCATATAAAACTGGGGTACAGGCCAGAGATGCAGAGGAATCACCAGAGACAGAATAAGGAGCAGAACAGGCAGAACTGTGAAGTGTGCAAAGTGGGCGAAACAGAAGAGGTCTGCCACACCATGTGGATCACCTCCAGGGTTGAGCCTCAAACTTGAGCTGAGGCAGCTATAGCTAGCTTCACAGTGCTGTGCTTTTTAAACTGTTGCTCCACCAGGGAGGGCCCTAAAAGTGTATTTTAATTTTAGAATCACAAAAAAATGGAATATGGATGTTAAGAATGTTCTTCCTTAATTTTCAGATCTAAATGTTAAAGAGAAAATAATTGAAGACATGCGAATGACACTGGAAGAACAAGAACAAACCCAGGCAGAACAAGATCAAGTGCTGGAGGTTCAGTTAGAGGAAGCTGAAAGACTGGCCACCGGTAAAGTGGAACCAAAGTATCGAGATATTCTTATTTTCTTTTATTTTCCTACAATTCTTTACTTTTTAAAGTAGTTTAGTATTATAATTTAGTGTTTTGTTATTTGTCATTTTCCAGTGTGATGAAACTTGCTCCCAGCAGGTAAAACCATATTTCTTAAAGAAGGAATAGGACACTGTCATAATACCCAGGCAAAAACTTGGCGATATTCCGTAGACACTGAGGATGAGCTTTCAACAGCATTTCACCTCTGTCCATCTCTTAGTCTTATCTTACATGTTTATCTAAATAAGTACTCTGATTCCATCCTTCAGAATACTATGGTGAGGGATGTTTGAGAATTCCTTGAAGTTTCTTTTATAATTAAAATTGATATGCATTTATATAGTGTTACTCTAAATGCTATTCAGTGGTTTTTCTGGAAAGATCCTTAGAATTAGTTCCCTCTTCTGTAAAAATTTGGTAAGAATCTTAAAAATGAGTGTAGCTCTTAAAATGGTGTAATTTATATCTTAGTGTACCGGGCTGTGCCGATTCTTGTCGGCATCCTATGCCATATGCGCTACATACTATACTTTTGCATTTGCTTTTAAAACTAATTTTGTTTTTAAATCAGAATTGGAAAAATGGAAGGAAAAATGTAAAGATCTGGAAACCAAAAGTAAGCAAAGGTCAAACACAGAACTTGAGGATAATAAGGATGTCCTGTCTAAAAAGCTCAGTAAGCTTCAAGATGAGTTACAGGTATGATTTTATCTATTAATGTGTGTATGTATACATTATATTTCCAATAAGCAAAGAATTCAATAGGTATTTTATAATTAATTTAGATGTAGGTGAAACAGTAGCATGGAAATGTTAATATATGGATATAATTTTTCTGTACACATTGAAAGGATATGAGGAAGGAAATCCCATGCAAACTATTAGCTACCCAAAAAAAGCAATGGTTAAGTCTTTAATTTTATATTTAATCATGTGGTCATCTTTTGAAATTAAAGAAAATGTAATAATGATTTTTCTTTTCCATTGTGAAAATCTAAAAGGCTGGAAGATAATAAATACTCTGTTACTTATGAGATAATAAGTGGACTCTATGGAAATGTTCATATTAAGGAGCACTAGTGTGCTTTGCATTATTCTAAAATGATGTAATTGCATATCTTAGATCATATATTTTGTTAATCCTGGAATGGACTGCCATAGTTTAAACAGTACAGTGGTTTTGTAACTTCCAAACAGTGGAAGAGAACTATATTCTCTCCCAGCTGCTCCCCATGTTCTTTAATAAATATTTGTCCTGTTGCACATGATTCTATATTTGGCATCTTGTATGCCCAGAAATATTTTATTTTTGGAACAATGGAATTAGACATGACCACCCTAAACCAAACCAAGTTACTTTATCCTGGTATTAAAAAGACTTGGTTCTCTATAACTCTTTTACAAATTTTAATTATTAATTTCTTCTTAACAAAATTCACTGATGAAGAAAAGTCCATAAATGAACTTTAAAGACAAAATTAAGTTTATAAAGGAAATACTGTTTAGAAAAGCAAACAAGCACTGGTCTTGAAATAAACTCTTGGTCTTATCATTATATAAAGAAAAACACTTAGGTATTTTAAAAGGTGAAAAGTGATGGGTTGTATGAAAATATTATAACAAGGCTTATTTTTTCTCAAGCCTGTGATAATTACATTATTTATACATACAGGAATCTGAAGAGGTCTATAAAGCTGATAGAAAGAAGTGGTTTGAAGAAAAAATGATGCTTATCACTCAGGCAAAAGAAGCTGAAAATCTACGAAACAAAGAGATGAAAAAATATGTGGAAGACAGAGAGCGTTGTTTGAAGCAGCAAAATGAAGTGGTAACAATTACACTTTATCTTTGATGTACTTTACCTGCTTTTTTGATTTGTTTGCGTTACCCCTGAAATTTCTAGTCTCTACATGGTTGAGAAAAGAAAACTCTCTTAAGGCCATCTGTTTATTTGTAAGATGGACTTTTCTGTGCCAGTTTATTTTGATGTTTATTTATATTCTTATTTTAACTTATTTCATTCACCTAACAAATGGGAAATACCTATTTACATCTCAGTGTCTAGCTACAGAACTTAAAAATATTTTCCTTTTGACTGCCATATTACTATGATATTAGTAAAATTAATTCATATTTGAACTATAGATTCTACTAATATGCTGTATATTTTGCCTTATAAAGTGATTTTATTAGGAGTATTTTTTTCTCTACCTCCCTTCAGCAATTGTGCTTTTTTGTTTTTTGTTTTTTTACAAAAGTTTATTTTTACATCATTTTGTACTTTTTTTTTTTCCATCTTAATTGTAGTCCCCGCGGGTTTCCCATCACCAAGTCACCCGTGTGCCATCACCATAATCCCGTGCATTTCAGCAGCAATTGTTTTTTAAGTCAACTAAATAGTTTTAGTTCTACATTGACTAACTCTAGCTCTTACAGTGATTCTTTCCTAGCTTGGAAATCTTTGTTTTCAATAACTTGGCACTATCATTTTGTCATCTATTGGCATTTCCCCTTTTTTTCTTTAAAGATTTATTTATCCATGCACAAACAAGAACTGGGGTACAGGCCAGAAGTGTAGGGACATGAGAGGATTCAAGAGAGACAGAGTAGGGAACCGAACAGGCAGATGTACTGAAATACACTGCTGAAGGGAGCAGCAGGCAGGTCAAAAGAGGTCTGCTGTGATGTGGGTCACCTCCCTGAGTGGAAATCAAACTCATGCTGCAGTGACTGTGGACAGCTTCATAGTGCTGTACTTTAACCCACTGTGCTCCAGGAAGGGACCATTTCCTGTGTTAATGACAGAACTTTAATAATAACAGATAAACTTTACTAATAAGAGGCAAATATTAAAAACATATGTTAATTTTAAGTAAGTGTGACTTCCCACTGATTTTTAAATATATTTTAGTCTTTTTATTTTAATTACAGACAAATTGCAAAACTAATAGAGAGTTCCTATATATTACTATCTTACATAATAGTTTAGTGATCAGAATCAAGTTAATTCTACTATAGTACTGTTAGCTAAGTTATAGACCATATTAGAATTTCACCAGTTTCCTCACTAATGTCTCTTAGGCCCAGGATCCTAGTGTTGGATTGAGTTGTTTTGTTTCTTTAAAGTCTTGACTTCCTGTCATATGCCAAATCATAGAAGACTAATACTTGTCATTACTACAGTTCCAAAAGGATAATATCTTTCATTGGGTTTTGATACTAGATAAAACTCGTTTCTCCCACGTTTCTCTGCAATCATGCCCAAGATATGTATCTGCCTGTTATATGTAAGCAATAAATTGGTGATTTTTAAGCTTTTTGAATTCTAACCTATAGCACAGTAATTAAACAAATGTGTAACTCAGTAAATTATTGCAAAACTGATAGACTTAGTTACAGCACACTAGAGACCCCCCTTTCTCTACTTTTCCAGTGGCAATAAGTATTCTGTCATTGATATTTCAGTTTTGCCTGGTTTTTAATTTTATATAAATGGAAATATACAGGGCCTCGCTGGTGGTGCAAGGGGCTAAGACACAGCACTATGAAGCCATCCACAGCCACTGTACAATTCCAGCCAGGGAGCTGACCCACGTGGCACAGCTGACCTCTCCCAACCTGCCCACTGCTCCCCTCAGCAGTGCATTTCAGCAGATCTGCCTGTTCTGCTCCCTACTCTGTCTCTGGTGAATCCTCTCACAGCCCCCTCCCCCCATCACCCCACATCTCTCACCTATACCCCAGTTCCTTATGCATAAATAAATAAATCTTTTTTAAAAATGGAAATATACAGAATGCATTTGTCTGCACTTGGCCTCTTTCACTCAACATGTTCATGAGACTCATTCATGTTGTTGCATTGTTCAGTGTTATTTGAACATACCTAGTCAATTTATTTCAGTGTTGAAGATGTTTGAATTGCTTCCTATTTTGGGTGAATACTATCAACATTTGTATACATTTTTCTTTGTGTATGCGTGCATGCATTTCTGTTGTATAATAGCCAGCCACAGAATTGTGTTTGTAGAACCCTGGTAGAATGGCAGACTGATTTTCAAAATATTCGTACCTACTGCTACAATTAGTATTATAGTTGCTGTATATTCCCACAAGCATATAGTAGTATCAGTCATTTTTTATGGTTTTAGTGTCCTTTCTCTTGATTACTAATGAGGTTGAAAATGGTTTCATTCGCTTGCTGGTTCTGCCTGTATATGCCCCTTCTCTAATCCTTACCAGACTATCCATCTGTTTTTTGTTGACATATAAACATTCCTTACTTTATCTTCAGTGTATTCCAGGTAATTCTTTTTCTGCTGTTTTCTGGTTAGGAAATACTAACAGCACAGCTGAAGGAAAAAGACAGTAACCTTCAAAAGTGGCGAGAAGAACGGGATCAGCTGGTTGCAGCCTTAGAAATACAGTTGAAAACACTGATCTCCAGTAACATACAGAAAGACAATGAAATCGAGCAGTTAAAGAAGATTACATCGGAGGATTCTAAAGCAGTCAGTAGAATTTTATTCTTCCTATATCTCTTTATTACTGAATATAGTTATTTTTCACATTATTTAACTCTTAGAGGTTTAAAATAATGTAAGTTTTAATAGACCAGAGAGAAACTGAAGCTTCAAATCATCTTTGGATATTTCTCATGTATTTTGAGTTTTCCGAGTTTATTTACTAGTATTGCTTTGTCAGTGACTAAGAAATAGCTCTTTTTTTTCCTTTTCTTTTTTTTAAGATTTATTCATTTATGCATACAGAACTGGAGTACAGGCCATAGGTACGGGGCAGTGAGAGGATTCACCAGAGATAGAGACAGAGTGGGGAGCAGCACAGACAGATGTACTGAAACACACTGCTGAGGGGAGCAGCAGGTGGGTCAGGAGAGGTCTGCCACACCATGTGGGTCAGCTCCCTGGTGATGTGCTGCAGTAACTGTGGATACCTTCACAGTGCTGTTTACCCCCTTGCTCTACCAGGGAGGGCCCTCAGCTTCAACTTCTGGTGATAATTAAATCTATCTTAACTTTAGTGTACTACATAAAGATGCAAATAATTTTGATAGTAAACACAATGGTGTGGTATAGTATGTCATTCAGGGAATTACTTATGTAATATTAAGGCTCTGAATTCTGGGTGAAAAGAGAATTACATCTCACAGATAACTACTTCCCAGGTAAATTGAAATCAGAGAACATCTAAAGCTAGTCTTTCCAGAATAATTGATCTAGAGTTACAAGTCTGCTGATCTAAAGATCTTAGAGAACAGGAAAATAAATTGTGTGTCCAGAGTCAAAAGGTTTCATGGTTCTAACAAATTATGTCTGCTCAAAAAAGTATTAGCAGCATGTGATATAATAGGCACAGAATGCAAATTTATTAAGGCATGTTCTGCTGTCACTGTGATTTTGGGACTTTTGGGAAAAGTACTTAACATTTCTAAACTTTGTTTAAAACATATGTCTTCCCATGGGCCTCCCTGGTGGCCCTGGGTTTAAAGACAATGCTGTGAAGCTATTGCAAGCCACTGAGGCATGAGTTCAATCCCTCGCCAGGGAGCTAACCCACACATGGTACAGCAGACTTCTCTTATCTCTCCCACTGCTCCCCTCAGCAGTGTATTTCAGTAGATCCATCTGTCCTGTACTGTTGAATTCTCTGTTCAATTCTCTTACCTACCCACCCTCCTCATTCCCCTAACCCCCAGGCACCTCTGCCTCCACGCCAGTTCTTGTATGCATATATAAATTTTAAAGTCTTTAAACCATTTAGGTTTTCCTAATAGAATTGCAAAAATTAAAGTGTTTATAAAGCAATAAGCACAACCTTTGCCACAAGGAAGTCAATACACAATAGTTGCTTTCCCCATAATGAATCCCACCTATTTCATAATAATGGGTAGGTATCATGAGAGGTATATTTGACTTTTGATTTTGATCGTAGTGATAAGAAAAGGCCCATGTTTGCATTCATCAGGTTTAGAAATGTAGTTTGATATTTCTTTCTAAATCCCATAGCCATTAGGGCTTAGAAATAGAGCATATTCTATGACTGAGAAGTTCAAGCTATAATACAGTGTGGACTTTGGCAGTGTCATTTAACACTAAATCACTGTTTCCTCCCCTCAGAAGTAGAATTAATGACTTTTGCCATATCTAATTCAGAGAGCTGCAGTGAAAATAGAATGAAAGGATTTTTGTAAAACATCTTGGAAATTGAAAGTAATTCAACTTTTCTCATAACTCATAATCAAAAGAAGCTGGGGAGATGCTGGCCTTTCCTGAATTTCTGAGAAGAAAAAAGAGTTACATGGCAATCGAAGAAGTGTATAGTTATTCCCACTATTTTAATCCATCCAGTACTGATTTTATGTTCTTTAGATGAAGCGTTCTAATATTTTCAATTTTTTAAAGACATATTTATTTAAGTACATAAGAGCTGAGGTGTAGTCCAGAGATGCGGGGAGGTGAGAGGATTCACCAGGGACAGAGTGGGGAGCTATCGGGAAGATAGGAGAGGTCTGCTGTGCAATATGTGGGTCACCTTCCTGGTAGGAGATTAAACTCCTGCTGCATTGGCTGCAGATAGCTTCATAGTGCTGTGCTTTAACCTGTTGGTTGCACTACCAGAGAGGGCCCCAAAATATTTTCAAGTTACAATAACTTTTTTTTAATATTTCTGTCCTTCAGGAATCACAAACCATAGATCCCAAGCCCAGACATACCAGTTCAGTAGATCCTGACAGAGTTGAAATTGAACCTCAACCAAGTTTTGAAAGTTCCAGAAGTGAATTAGTGGTGGGTACTTTGTAACATACGTCACTTTTGAACCTTCTTTATCAATGACTGTTAGTTACTAAATAATATTTTCAAGTTTAATTTGTAGATTGTTGTAGGAACCTTGCTATGCAGTTGTCTGTATGTGTTCTTGACTGTAGGGAAAAAAGTTAAAAGCATCCAAGATGTGGTAAAATTCTTTGGGGAGATTAGATCCCTGAGTGATAATATCCTTTCCTATTGATAATGATTTCAAACAACAGCTTTGTTAATATAAACTAAATTGGTGAGCAAAAATATGAAATTTGACCAAAGATAAAATACAGTTAATTAAAATTAAAAATTCTATTAAGTAATGCTTTTCTGAAATTGTTTACCCAATTTGATAACTTTGTCACCAAATCTCAATAAGTTGTTGTGTTTCCTTAATTTGCAGTACTTTAAATAATGTAGAGCTTCTCTGAATGCACTTGAAGTAAATTAAAAATTCTGTGTTAAAGTACATTTATTACTGCATTTATTGGGAGTATCCATGTTGAGAACTTTGCTTATCATTGAGGATGAAAACATAAATAACATTTGATCACTGTCCTCAAAGAAGAGAAATCTGGATATCTAAGTGATTACATCTTTGACTTCCTTTTCTGGCTAAGTGTTATGAAGAGAAAGCTCCAGGGAACACTGACCAATGAGTATATATAAGGTTTGCCTGAGTGGTGGTAGACATAAACTGAAGAAAGAGGCACAGATCTTGAAGATGGGTAGACATTTACCAAGCAGGAGAGAAGGGCACTGTAATCTGGAAAAATAATGAGCCATTTCTTTTCTCTTGGTCTTTCCTTCATAGTTTTTGGTAGTGTTTCAGATAATTCATGTTAACATTAGGGACTAATAGAAATACTATTTGTAGGACAATTTGAAGTTGACCATGAGCAAGATGAATCACATGTAATAGAACATTTTTTCTCCTATAAATTTATATATAATGTCCTAATACCTCCTGATCCCAATTTCTTATTCAGAATACCAGCAATTGATGTATGTTCCACACCTTTGGTGAATCATATGATGCTATTTTATATACATTTTATTACTCTCATGAACTCATTGTGCTCTACAGAACTGAAATGATTCATTCACATAATTGATAGCTCTGGGAGCTTAGTTGTACCTATGTGTACCTAAGCCCAACGGCTTAGGCTTCTCACATTAAGAGGACTGGCTTCTGAGATTGGGAATTTTGAGGAGGAATGTCCTAAAATTTAGCTTTCCAAAAGGGCGGATTTCTTTTCTTAAAACTCAGAGGAATCATTCTATTGGTCTTTGAATCACATAAAAGATAACCCAGGCACAGGAAAAAGGAAAACGAGGCTCTGTGTCTCAGGAGGGATGAGTAGCAAATAATCTACAGCAGGCTTTAACCTGCAATAGCTAGGGGGATTATTAAAAATTCTAGATTTTTTCCTTAGAGATTTCTGCTTTAGTGGGTTTGTGTTTGGGTCTAAGAACCTTTTAAACAAATCCTCTAAATAATTCTTATATTCATA